GTTCCGGGGTCAGGAGCCCACGCTTCTCGCCAGTTCGTGTCCGCATAGCCCAGTGGCTCTGACCCTGACTCGGTTCCCAGTTTGTGATGTTTCTAGACATTCTGAATCTCTGTCCTTTCGCTGACACCGGGAAAGCTCGGATGAAAAGCATTAGTTCTGCAAGGCTCAGTTTCCATTTATTGGCATGAGGCTGTAGTGGAGGTGAACTGCGAGGCGCGAGGGCCACTCAGAGTGACTGGTAGTCACCTACCACCACAGTTAAATTAAGAGAGCGAGTGTTGCTAGCCAAGGTTCTGACGCTTTGGGGTAATTTGCCTTTTTCTTTTCTCAGCTCTTTCCCTTCCTTTTTCTGAGACTGGCCTTCAATGTCCGACCTTCCTTGGGCTCCGGAGAGCTGGGTGTGGAGCCACAGTTTCGTTTTCTCCCCTTGCCTGCCATTGTCAGGAGAGGAAGGTCTGGCCGCAGGGGAACACTAGTTGGCTTCAGTGTTTGTGCAGCCTGGCTCAAGCTGGGAGGACCCTGGGGGTCCGGGGGACTTTTCTGCGATCTCAGAGGTCCAGAGTCCCGAAGATCCTGCCCTGTGCTGGGCGTCCCAGGGCTGACCGACCCCAGCCTCGGGGTCCCCAGGCCTCTGAGCAGGGTGGAGCTGGGTGCGGTTGCTTTAATCTTGATTACTGTGATATTTTTTTCTGTAACATTTGCCTCTGAGAGAATTAAAGTGATTATTGTAATCTTGACGTAATTGCCACCGGAAGATGTCAATTGGATGGATGGGACCCGCTTGGACAGGTGGTGACTTGGGGTGACCCCAGAGGCCAGGCCTGCGAGGCTGCTGTGAGGCACAGTCCTGCTGACTGAAAGGAGCAAAGAACCGGGCTTCACCTCCCTGGCCTCAGCTTCCCCGTCTGGGCTGATGGTCCAGGATCTGGCTCCTTCCTTCCTGGTTTCTAGAAGAGGGAAGGGCGCCGGTCCATAAATCTTGCAGTGGCTGGAGGCACCGGGGAGCTAAGATGCTACAGGCAGGGCTGGGGCAGCCATGAGCACCTGGGCCGGGCTCCCCAAACTTTATCTTTATAGGAATTCTCTTTCTGTTCATAAAAGTAAAGAGTAACTTGTAAAGAGTAACTTGCCAACGTAAAGGGAAGGCAAGCTGGTACAATCCGGAGAGAACCACCCTGGGGTCAGAGCTGGTGTCCGGCTCGCTCTGCCCTGCCTGGCACTGGGTGGCCCCGGGCATGTCTGTGACCTGCTTGCCAGCTGGAAACCAAGGCCGGCCCGGGGACCCAGGCTCTTCCAGAAGCTCCGACCTCCTTTACAGCCCGCTCAGTCTGTGGGAGAATGTCCCGAAAGGTCCAGACAGCCATTGTGAGGCTCATGAATATTCATGACTTGCTAGGTCAGCACCTCATTAAAAGCAATGTTTGAACCACAAATAGCAATGACCCCACGTCATGAGTATTCAGCGAATCATTAATATTAAGATGGAAGTCATTAATATTCACACCATCGCTACGAAGCACAGGGCCTTAACACCTTGTTTGGGTCACTAATATAAAGTGTGGGCTGTTTACTTATCAGGTCACTGGGGTCGTCGTGCATGCGCATGCTCAGTAGTGGGGCGTTGATTTTAAACACGTTGCTTTTATTAGCCAGTGCCTCGTGAGTATTCGGCACCCTTAATACCCAATGACGCATTAATATGCACTGAATAATTAATATCTGGTGACATATTAATATGCAGCGTCTCATTAGCAAGCAGCATTTTCTTTATGCTCCCTGGCTTGTTTGTAGCCAGCAGCTTGTTAATCCTCAGTAGCTCATTAACCCGGTGGCTCATTTGTAATTAGTGTCTTGTTAATATTCAGGGAGTCTGGCTACTCTGTGTAGATGGTGGTCACAGAAGTTCCCAGTCAATGACGATATTAATCCTCAGAGGCCAGGCTGTGACTCCTGTGGGCTCCAATTATCCAGGGCTTCTGTAGGAGCTCAGCCCTGGGGAAGAAAGTGTTATGCCCGATTCCCAAAATGTTTATTTCTTACTCTTATTTCTGGAACAGCGGCTGCGAATCGATGGGCCTCAGGGACAGCAGAGACTGGGAGCTCACTGTCTGCAGCTGTCTAGATTCTGATTCACGAATGTTCAAACATCCAGAAATTTGTCTTTGGGCCTCTGGTACACACACCCTCGACTTCTTATGTTTTTGAGTTTTGGTTTGTTTGTTTCTTGGTTTTTTGAATCAGGGTTTCTCTGTGTAGCCCTGGCTGGCCTAAAACTCACTTCTGTAGACCAGTCTGGCCCTGAACTCACAGAGATCCACCTGTCTCTGCCTCCCAAGTGCTGGGATTAAAGACGTGCGCCACCAACCAATACAGTGAGGGAGGGTAGTGAGCCCTGTGCCTAGCATGTGCATCTCACGGGCTCCAACCCCAGCCGTGCTCCCAGCTCCTCCAGGTCACTCCCCCAGCCATGCTCCCAGCTTCCCCTCTTGTCCTCCCAGGCTCCTCCTCTCTTGCTGGTTCCCTGCCCTCCCTCCTGCTCTGTTGGTGGAAACAGAAAGCTGCTCTGGGCTCCAGGCTCATGGGAGGAAGGGTCCCTCGGAGCTGGGGGGGGGGTCCCCAGGGTCACACCCCAGGAGAGGCTCCTGGGCCCTGACCCTTGAAATAAGTAACTTCCCTTTGTGGGGAGAGAATGGCCCAGAATAGGCCTGATTCCCCAAGGCATTCTGTGACCTCAGGCTCCTGACACTGTGTCCCATTCCAGTTAACTCGGCTGCCAGGGCATCTTGGAGTGAACCAGATCTTTTTCCTCTGTGGTTTGTCTGTGGTCTACCCTGACACCTCAACACCCTTTGTTGAACTCCTGTGCATCCTTCAAAGCCTCAGCCTCAGTATCCTAGTTGCATTTATTTGGTTTTTGCCTTCTCTCTGTAGGAGCCGGCTCTCAGGGTCTTGTCCAGAATTCGGATGCTTCAGCTTCTTGACCCCCACACACAGAGTTGTTGATAGGATGAGGAAAATCCTATTTATTACTTTTGAGCCAGGAGCTCAGTTTGTAGCCTAGGCTGTCCTGGAACTCACTGTGTAGATCAGGCTGGCCTTGAACTCACAGAGATCCTCCTGCCCCTGTCTCCCTAGTGCTAGGATTAAAGTCATGTATCACCATGACCTGGCATGTTTGGTGGTTTGGCAATATCTAAAGATCTTGGCCATGTTAACAGGGTCTAGCTTAGGCATTGATAGAGGTCTATCCCAGGCATTGACAGAGGTCTAGCCTCGGCAGGAGTCTCTTCCCTCACTCTGACTGAAGCTACTCAAACTTCAGGAAAAGCCGAGAGCCCCATGTGTATCTATTAGGTGAATGAATGAATGAACTAATGATGCATTTCAAACCACAGGAGCCATGGGGCGGGGTCTGGCTGTGATCAGGGACCTGTCCATTAAAAGGAACTGAAGGGCAGCACAGCTCACAAAGTCTGTGCTATGCAAAGGGTTTTTACAAATCAATAGCCATCCACGTGACCCTAAAGCCATGAGGTAGGAGGCCTCCAGCACTTTTCCTGGGATCCATTTTGTTTTACTTGGAGGTTCAGAGAGGTCAAACTGTGTTAAGGTCACACAGCACACAGAGCCAGGAGGCAGGTCTTGTCTAGGCACTAGCGGGTGGGTTTGCTTGAGAGTATAGTTTCAAGGGCACGTGTTAACCATCCCACATCGTTCCAGGTGCCATTGGGGAGACCAAGGACAGTCTGGCTCAGTGTGAGTGCCCCAGGACAGACGGAGGTAAGTGACAAGGTTCAGAAGTTATTATTATCATTATTATTATTATTATTATTATTATTTGGTTTTTCGAGACAGGGTTTCTCTGTGGCTTTGGAGGCTGTCCTGGAACTCACTCTTGTAGACCAGGCTGGTCTTTAACTTACAGAGATCCGCCTGCCTCTGCCTCCTGAGTGCTGGGATTAAAGGCATGCCCCACCAACGCCTGGCTGGTTCACAGGAGTGGCATACATGGGTGTCCCCTCTAAACCTGCAGAAACCTAGGTCAGGGCATGTGGGCACTCACCCATCTCCAGGGGTGAAGGGTAAGTGTTCAATGGGGGAAGTCCTGCTCTGAGTCTCACCTAGCACTTGCATGCTACAGCAGTACCACACTGGACTAGAAGACAACAGAAAGAGCAGAGGACATGTGCAGAGTCAGCAGGGGAGTCGGTTGCAGGGAGAGAGAGGGCTGAACCCCGAGGTCTGGAAGGAGAGCCAGGCCTGGTGATATCCCAGCACTCAGGGTGTGAGGACAGGACGGACAGCTCAAGGCCATCCTCAGCTATACAGCAAGTTTGAGGCCAGCCTGGGCTACATGACCTTGTGTCAATGGGAAATACATTTCCTGAAAGTGAGCTCATTCGAACTGGGCTTCTGGTGGATTTGTAAGAGTTTACCACAAACATCCAATGCTTTCTGCCTCTCGCCCACCTCATGCTGGGCGGGACTGGGACCCGGAGCAGCAGGACAGACACAGGACACAGGACAAGGTCGAGGCCATAAATGGGCCGAGACCAGAAATACCAGGGAACAGGAGGGTCAGCGAAGGATGCCTGGAAAATGGAACACCCAAAATGGGTTTTGAGGGAGGAAAGGAGTTTGCCAAAGGAGACAGCTGGGGTCGAATGGTCTGTGAGGACCGGGTATGGGTTCAGGTCCAGTGAGAGTCAATATGGGTGGGAGGGGGCAAGGAGGAAGTGAGCGGGCCTGTCTGTCCACAGGTGCTGTGTGTTGGGGTGCACAGCTCCCCTGACCTCGCTCTAGGCCCCCCTCCGACGCCATGCGGCTGCCCCGGCCGCTGCCGGAGCTGAGCCTCCTCCTGGCCATGGCCTTCATTGCTCTGCTGCTCCTGTCTTGCGTGTCCCCGCCTGCCTGCCCCGTCCCGGAGAGGTCGTCAGAGCCCCAGGAGGTCCCCACGTGGTTCCCGGACTCTCAGCGCGCCGACCCCGCCCCGTGCCAGGCCAACTTGTCTGTGGCCGATCACCCCGACTTCGCGGCGCTGCCCGCGCACATCCGTGACTTCCTGTTGTACCGGCACTGCCGAGACTTCCCGCTGCTGCGGGAGCCGCGGGCCACCAAGTGCGCACCGCCCGTGTTCCTGCTGCTGGCCATCAAGTCGTC